TTTAAGAGCCATTGAATTAAAAAGGCGTTTAATTGTTTGTCAGCCCGTTGCATCTGACCAGCGTCCGCGCTGCTGAGGCCCGCCCATTTTAAACTGTTTTCTTTCTAATCGGCGCTCTACATGCTTATTTTATTTCTGTGATACAGATGCTGCCCCTGCACCTCCCCTTGACGTTTGAAGCCGTTGCCATGACACCGGACCTGATTTTTTCCAGCTGAATTACGCACTTTCTTATGAAAATTAGTTTCATTTGTTGTGCTTTTTGCGCACGCATCCGCTGATGCAGACCTGCAAACGTTTCTATTAACGCACAATGTTTATTTTATGTAATTCTATCTATCTATCTATCTATCTATCTATCTATCCGTCCGTCCGTCCGTCCGTCTGTCCGTCTATCTGTCTGTCTGTCTGTCCGTCTGTCCGTCTATCCGTCTGTCTGTCTGAAAAAAGGCCCTTGAAAGTGGTTCAATATGAAATACTAAGTTAAATATTAAATATTTATAATTAAATACGTGAAAGACCCAGTCACACACACACACAAACACACACACACACAGCTATAGACAGGCTCTAAAAGCTGCCAGGGCCGAGCATATCCACAGACTCATAGAAAATAACCAAAACAATCCAAGGTTTTTATTTAGCACAGTGGCTAGATTAACAAATAACCAGAGGCCACCCGCTCTAAATATTCCCTCACAGTTTAATAGTAATGACTTTATGAATTTCTTCACTGATAAAATAAATAACATCAGAAATACAATAACAAAAGTAGATTCTACAGCTAGTAGACTTCTAGTATTCTACTTGAAGTATTCTACTTCAGCTTCATTCATCGCACCAAAAGATAAACTGCAGTGCTTTACAACAGATATATTCATAGTGTTTGTGATAAATGTACCTTTTGTAATGTATCTGTTGAAGATATTGAACATTTATTTTTCTATTGCCCTTTTTCTATTTCATTTTGGGTTGACTTTAAAATAGACATAACAAAAAAATTAAACAAAGCCCTTAATTTAGAACCTGATTATATTTTACTTTGTTATCAAAACCCATCTTTTTCTGATAAACATATTTATATTATTAATCTGTTAATTATCTTAGCAAAGTTTTGTATACATAAGTCAAAAGTAATTCAAAAGAATCCATCATATATTACATTTTGTAACACTGATCTTAAAATATACGTTGAAACCCTTTCTAATATGAGATCACAAAATAAGAAGCTAATAAAAACAATCAATATTCTAAAGCTTTTCAAAGTTATGTAACTGCCCTAATGACTTGACACACACACACACACACACACACACACACAAACAAACAAACAAACAAAGTACTGTGGCAGTGTGCCATGCTTGTTAAATTATATGGTGGTGCATATACCATGGACCTGAATGATTGTCATATTATTCCTACATTCCGGAGAGTGTAAATCTGGCCAGTGAGTGGCGCTGTGATACGATTCTCTTTTAGCAACACGTCCCACATCACACGAAGAAGACGGAGGCGTTTTTTCTTCCGGTTTCTGTTACGTTGGTTTGTTTGCTTAAAATCAACTAATCCAATAAACTGAGCGATTGATCGTTTTTTAATGCTGCATATGACATGGGTATGTTAAAACGATGAAGATTAAATGCAGTCGACTAATGACTATCTCATTCAGTTATATGTGGTTTCTTTGCTGTTGATAGAGTAGCTAGTTTACTGCCATGATAACTAAAGTCAAATGTTTTGTATTCTATTAAAGGATGTTATTATTTTAATGTTTTTCTGGCTGTAATGCAGTTGTCGCAATGAGCTCCACCTGTCCTGGGCTGTACTGCGGAAGGACCACCATAAATGACTCTGTTGAAGGAGAATGTGGGGTAAGTGCCTCATTTTACATTAATCGGTTCAAATAAAACACACACCGATTGCTTAACTGTATACGCAAGAGGTCATATGCATAACAGCACGATTGTGTACATATGCTCTGATGTACATTTTACTAGTTTAAGATTGTTTATTTCACTTTACATTGAGGTTTTATCTGTTATCATTAGTTAACTAACTTTGTTAGTTAACACGAACTAACAAAGAACAATAACGTTACCTCTACAGTATTTATTAATCTTAGTTCATATTAATTTCAACATTTAATAATGTTTTTTTAATCAATTGTTGAATCTGTTAACAGTAGTTAATGCATTGCGATAATTCATAATTATAATTGGATCTCTTTCATTAACCAATATTAATGAAAGTTTAAAAAATATTATATTGGTTATTGTTAGATAATGCATTAACTAACGTTAACAAATTAGGTTTATCTTTATTTCTACACATATGTACATCTAAGAGAACCACTGTCAATTACGTCCTTTAAAATAAAGGTTCTTTATTGTCCTGTGGTTCCATGAAGAACCTTTAACATCCATGGAAATTTTCAGTTGAAGAAAAGGTACTTTATCTAGTGGAAAAGGTGTCTTCTTTCACTAAGAAAAAGATAGTTCTTTTAAAAACCGTTGACTGAAAGGTTCTTCACTAGCATAGTTGCAAAAACGCCTTTTTTTGTAAATGTATATTTTTAAGCGTGTAGTGCAACAGTATTCGCCTGGTCATTCGAGAACAGTTCTGCTTGTACTGATGTATGATTGCACAGTTCAGTGGTGTTTTGTGGATTGGATTTAATATGACTAAATATTTTGGAGTTATTTTGGGCTTTAATAACAGTTACCACTCTTTTAATCAAGGTTTGTCCTCGTGGCCAGAGAACAAACTTTGAAAAGATATGTGAGAAATGCAGCGGATCTCCTGAGCTGTATGACTGGCTGTACCTGGGCTTCATGGCGATGCTGCCTCTGGTCCTACACTGGTTCTTCATTGAGTGGTATTCAGGGAAGAAAAGGTAGTCGGCAGAATTTCTTGTGCTAAACAATAGTACGATACATGAGGCAATATTATTGTGCGGATCTGATTAGTTTGCGTTTTGTTTTCCAATACTATTTCTCAAATGATAGTTCACCCAAAAATGAAAACTTTTACTCGCCTTCAAGTCGTTCCACAACCTGTATACACAACTTAATTCACAGGGAAAACAAGTTTTCATACCCCAACGACAGATGTTTGTTCTTGTTTTTAATTGTATTTATTTATTTTTTTGCAGCGCATGCAACATTTATGCCATAGCTTTATGAATTTAAGAGTTTCTGTTGTGATTTAAGACCTTTTTAGGCCTTCATTTGTGGAAGGGCAAATTAAGACTCACAGAAATCACGTTTCTACTGTGGTACATGAGAAGCATGGTATGAAGAATGTTTTCAATCAAACAGTTTTGATTCCTATTGATTTCCATTATATTTTTGATCCGTACAATTGAAGTCAATGGGAACCAAAACTGTTTGGTTACCAACATTCTTCATAATATCTTCTTTTATGTTCAACTGAAAAAAGACGGGCATTCAGGTTTGGAATGACATGAGGATGAGTAAATGATGACAGAATTTTTTTTTGTTGGACCATCCCCTTAAACTTTAATAATGCATTTTTAAAGTGAGCTTCAAACTAACCTTTGCTCTCTTAATATCATCTCCAGTTCTAGTGCCCTTTTCCAGCATATTACTGCCCTGTTTGAGTGCACGGCTGCTGCCATAGTGACTCTGTTTCTCAACGATCCTGTCGGCTCTCTGTATATTCGTTCCTGCGAGGTTAAGATGCTTTCTGACTGGTACACCATGTTGTATAACCCCAGTCCAGACTACGTCACCACTCTGCACTGCACGCAGGAGGCCGTGTTCCCTCTGTGAGTGGCCTTTTCAAAATGCCATTTTATTTGATTTGAGACGCCAGCTATTTCTATTGGTTTCTGATGACCTGTTCTTTTAGGTGCACCATCGTGTTGATCTACTACGCCTTCTGTCTGGTTTTTATGATGCTTCTGCGGCCACTTCTGGTTAAAAAGATTGCGTGCGGTTTAGGCAAGACCGATCGTTTCAAGAGCATCTACGCAGCGCTGTACTTCTTCCCGATCCTCACTGTCCTGCAGGCAGTTGGAGGAGGACTTCTTTGTGAGTGTCGAACGCTTGAAAGTGTCCCCAAGAAAATATGATTATGTTATTAATATTTTGAATTATTTTTAGATTTTCTGTTTTAGTTGAAATGTTAGTCATTTTGTTGTTTTTATCATTTTTATTATTATTTTTTAAATGTATATGTAGTTTTTATTCATTTGTATTTCAGCTTAGTTATTTTATGCAAGTAAAATGAAAATGTGAAATGTTGCATTGGCAACTAACTGAAATAAAATAGAATTATTTTTTTATTAAAATTAAAAATTAAAACTGAAATAAAATATGAATTTTCTAGTTTAATTTTAGTTACTACTTTTGTTGTTTTTGCTATTTGTATTATTATTTTTTAAACGTCTATATCGTTCTATTAATTTTTTTATTAGGTTTTAGTTATATTACTACAAGTTAAAAAGTTTTTAATTATATATCAGTTAAAGTTTATTGTCTTTTAAGTAACAGTTTTTTTCAATGGTTTTTAATGGCTTTTGTGTTTTTATATTTCCCTTTCTTATTTCATCAGATTATGCATTTCCATATATTACTTTGGTCTTATCGTTGGTCACGTTGGCAGTTTACATGTCAGCTTCGGAGATACAGGTAAATACATTGTGTATTGTGTTTTTTTTATGTCATAATGCCTTTTATTTCGTTTTCAAAGACATGTGTTAAAACTGTTTGTGACTTATCTCCCACAGTCTTTCAAAAACCTTGTGGCTAAGAAGAAACGCCTCGTGGTTCTCTTCAGCCATTGGCTCCTTCATGCATACGGTATCATTTCCATATCCCGACTGGATAAACTGGGGCAGGATTTGCCGTTGTTGGCTCTGGTGCCTGGACCCGCTCTCTTCTACCTGTTGACGGCCAGGTTCACAGAGCCAAACAGAATTCTGTCAGAGGGTGGAAATGGACACTGATGTCACTTCCTGTGTAGGAGAATCACCTCCCTCAAACTCACATGTTAAAGACTTTTAATGTAATGACACCTTTGGCATGGACACCAAAGAGCCATAAACAAAACATTTAGTCATTGCTCATGATATAGTATGATGCCATAAAGTTTTCTTTTACGTCTATGAATATTATTATGTGTTTGCTTGTATTGAACAGAGATCAAATTACATACTTTGTAAAGAATGTTCTTTTCCTTACTGTTTTTCTTTAAATCCTGAAAGCGAAGTGGTAGTCGATGTTTTTGTAAATTTATGGTAACTTAAGTATATATTATTAATTTAGGTTTTGATACTTTTTGTGATTTGTATCTGTTGTCAAGAATAGATACAAATCAACAATCTGTTGTAATGTACAATGTATTTTTTTTTGTGTTATATATGAAACAGCTGGTCTGTGAATTTCCTGAGAGCCCTGCAGTAATGTTAACCATTTTCATATGACATAAACCTTCTTATAAACTAAACTGCCAAATACAGTTGTATGTATTTACGCTTTATTTTCATGCATGTTACATGATAAAAGCTTAACACTAAAAAAGGTATGTTAAAAACCATCTTAAAACCATCTTAAAAACACTAAGATGGCGCCGACGCTGATGGCTGCCTCCGTGGCGTGCTCCGCAGTTGTTTTTATGTTTTTGTTAGTTTGTCCTGTCTTTAGTTATATCCCTGCAATCAGTTTCACCAAAGACGAATTGCTGGACATTCGGCAGTACACACCACCCGATATTTCACCGGTTTTCGACTATTCTGATGTTTTGCTGGACATTGTAGTCGGGGGAGCTGTGGCACTGATCAAGCGCTTCAGGACGCGCAGACGGGGGAAGCGAGCAGGCGCGCTCGTGAAGCTCAGGCAGCGCGGATTCAGAATGGCGCTGCCTAGCATCCATCTGGCAAATCTCCGCTCTCTACCCAACAAAACGGACGAACTCCTTCTGCTCTCCCGGACAAATAAGGATTTTTCAAACTCTGCTGCTCTGTGTTTCACGGAAACCTGGCTGAAAGACGCCATTCCGGACAGCGCGTTGAGTCTGCCGGGCTTTCAGCTGTTTCTTATATATTTTTATTCCTTATTTACTTGTTCTATTTTAAATTTTTATTTTATTTTTTATTATCTGTGTTTTTTGTTCTGTCACTGTCATTCTGTTACACTGTGGAAGCTTCTGTCACGAAAACAAATTCCTTGTATGTGTAAACATACCTGGCAATAAAGCTCATTCTGATTCTGATTCTGATTCTGACAATGACAAATATGCATGTGGAATTATGTTTGTTTTGCTGCTATGTAATTCTGCATACAACTTGACTAATGATTTCTTTTAAGCATGTATATTTATTATTTATAAGTTCAACAGTGATGTGTGGAATATAAACTGATTAGAGATATTAACGTTTTAGAGTTTTATTCAACGTGATGTTTTACATAGTGGTGCATTACATCCATGGCCATCAGATCTATGAAAATGAATGTTTGTCAGCTGTGTTTGACTTGTTGAATAAATTATTGTGCTCATTTTTCATGTTTCCTAATGCTAACAAATGAAACCTTATTACCATACTTTCTGTAGTCATTATACATTTTAAATTTGATAAAATATTTAAAACCATCCAAAAGTTGCTCTTAACAATTGAAATCTGACTTTTTTTAATGTCAGAAGATATTGGAAATAGTGTACTGTTCTATATTAATGTAAAGTGTTTTTGTTTTTGTAGTTTGGCTTCTCTAACACAGAGCTCATGCCTGCTAACTCTTTCTCCAGCCTGTCGCTGATGTGAGGTTTTCTTTCTCGAACCCTCACTATGAGATTGAATATGTTCTCCACAATCTTTTGGTCTTGATTTGCAGATTCCTAATATAAAAAAAGCCACGATTAGTTCATTTATTATTAAGTAACATTTGATAAATTCCTTTATCAAAACATCAAGTTCAGGAAAGAGTTTTTAACAGTCACTTCAGAGTTCATCAGTTTAAAGGAACATTCCGGTTTCATTGCATTAATCTTGATAAATAACATCTGTTGCCAATTACCACGGAAAATAATTCTGGCATCCCTCTGTTTACAGAAGAGTCTAAACGCAGGAACGTGAAGCTCTTCCAATAGACTTCCATTTGTAAGTGCATTACTCTAATTTTGTATTTTTGTTATAAACTGAGGAAAAGATTGAGTAATAATTGACAGCATGCCACAGGTGCTGTTGATTGAGATCATTTTAGTGCTGTCAAACGATTAATCGCGATTAATCGCATCCAAAATAAAAGTTTTTGTTTACATAATATATATGTGTGTACTATGTATATTTATTATGTATATATAAATACACTCACATGCATGTATACATTTCTAAAATATTTACATGTATATATATTCATATAATTTATATTATATATAAATATATTTAAAATATAAACATAACTTATTTTTCTTAAATATATACATGCATGTGTGTGTATTTATATATATATATATATATATATAAATATACACAGTACACATACATATATTAGGTAAACAAAAGACTTTTATTTTGGATGCGATTAATCATTTGACAGCACTAGATCATTTATATTGAACCAGGAATGTTTCTTAACTGTATTGTGTTTTGACGTTTTCTTGTACCTCAGTAAGCAACATATCTGTATTCCAGGTGTCTGTTAGACTCTCTAGGAACGGAAAAGACATGATTTGTTCTGGATCATTATACTAAGGGCTGAATACTTTAAAATGTTAAAGTCATAGTCAAAAGACTCACTGCACTTCCTCTTTCATCCACTTGGCCTCTTGCATATACTTTTCCTTGTCTTTCTTTGCATCCAATATTTCCTCCTTCATTTGTTCAATGCACTGTAAAAAAAAAAAAAAAGAAACTGTTGAAAATCATCTCAAGCGGCGTGCTAACAAGGGTATGTGTCTGTGTGCTGATTAGCGTGGGTCTTCACCACATGTAGGCGACTGTTTTCCATCGTAACTTGCTCCAGCATGACCCTGTTCTCATTGATGCTTTTTTCGACTGCACTGATCTCTGCAGTGTTAGCAGTTAACATCTCCATATGCTTGGCTCTCAAAATCATCAACTTTCTCTTCAGATCATCCTACAAACATACAAATGGACACTAAAGCCAGCAAGTAAACTAACACACGATTGGAAAATGTGAAATACTGAGTAAATGTTAACCTTTGGTTGTAGGAGAGCAGCAGTCTGTTTTGTGACCTCCTCAATGGAGAGCTCAAGATGTTTTCTTTGGGTTTCCAACTCTGGTAAAGAAAAACACAAAATCCTTACAAAAACATTTAGAAGTTCAGTTATCCTAAAATTGCCACCTAGTTTGCCAATGCAAAACTGGTAAAAAAAAACATCCATTTATTGTGCATAGATTAAGTTAATCTCTATTCTTTCTCAATTTAATTATTTGCAATTATAGAACGACCCAGTTACATATTGTAAATCTTATCTCATAAAGAAACAAATGCTAGCTGAGAAACAGCAGGTGGCCGGTTTGTGACTCCATAGTTCAGGTAAGGTGCAGTGTTGAGCTATACATGAGGAGAATAGAAATGAAGTCTGTACCTGATATTTGTTTCTTTAAAGTTTGATGTTTGAGGTGGTCAATGTCAAACTGAGACTCCACCATCTCTAAAATCGACTCCTGGTCCTTGAGCTCCTGCTCTTTCTCCGCATGAACTTGAGTGATTGATTCTGCATACCTCTTTTGAGACACAAGACATACATTTTTAGTTTTCAGATGCACTCTTAGCTAAACCACATCCATCTTGAAATGTTTTATTGAGCTTATAATAAGTCTATGAATATGGATTCGCTCTTGTACTGTAAGCTGTTGAATTTCAGCCTGGTAGGTCATTTCCATTTCTTTTCCCTCTTCCTCTGTGTTGACCAGCTCTTCTGTAAGATCCGTTATCACTGAATCCAATAATATATGGTCTTGGAGTTTCTTCTTCTACAAAAACAACAACACGCCTTAGATACAGTGACGTCTCTTTGCATTTCCACCACTACTGTCTAGTGTTTCAGTCAGACCTCCTCGAGCAGCTCTCCATATATATTCTCTGTTTGTTTCAATGGCTGCATTGATCTCCGTTGCATACTCCTCGTGTTCCTCTTTAAGAGTTTTGCGAGATTGACATTCAGACACTCTTTCAGCTTCAAATGCTGCCCTGTGTACACAAATGTTGTGATAATGACTATATTAACAATGATTTGAGGAGGACTAACAAATTCTGTCCAAAAACTGTCCAATGACATTTGCACACTCTAAAAAATGCTGGGTTAAATATAACCCAGCGCTGGGTTAAAAAGGGACAAACCCAGCTATTGGGTTGTTTTGGTTACATTTAACCCAGCATTTTTTAGAGTGCAGATCAAGTTAAACTTGTTTTAAAAAAAAAAAAATTTATCTTTACATTTAACCACACGTAAACATGAATTAAACCAGTTAAAATATTATTTGTTAATTTGCAAAGTGATTTGGATTCTATGTATTCTACACTCTAAAAAATGCTGGGTTGAATACAACCCAGTGCTGGGTAAAATAGGGACAAACCCAGCAATTGGATTTTTTTGGACC